TGTAGTTCTTGGCATTGGCGAAGGAGGAGTAGCATCTCTTGGCAAGATCCCACAATTCTTCTCCTCCAGAGATGTCATGTGTGTTTAAGATGGCAGAATGATAAAACCCTAAAAAAAAAAAAAAAAAAAACCAGTAAATTCATTCACAGGTCAAGTTATCAACTATCGACTATCAGTTTATCAAACCATATGTTAATGAGTAAAGTGATCAGTTACCAAGATGGTGGCTACTGCGAACAGGATCTAGAATGGGACGACAGTCATTGAGGGTAACAACAGCATATTTCTCTCGTTGATCATAAGGAAGTTCTTTAGAGGAATGGGCTGCTATTAATCCGGCAGCAGCAATGGCTCCACACAGTTTAATACTTCTTGATTTGCAACCCTGCAAGATTTTTCATCATCTGATCTGAATAATTAAGTCCCTTTGAGATTTGACCATTTTGTTCAAATATAATAGACAAACAAGTTAAAAACTTTTACAATCAAAATATAAGAAAAGTCATAAGTCTCCTGTATTTCGGTCCATACTACACAATAAAATTGCCATTTGCGTACTAAAATCACTAAAGTTCCTTCAATGAATTAACATGAAGAGGAGATTCATTAACAGTACTTAGTAATTTCACAACCCAAACTGCATTTTTATTGTACAATACAAACCGGAATGAAGCGTATTTTTGAGATAGACTAGAGTGTATTTTTGATATAGGAATTATGTGATAATTAAAATGGACTGGAGGTATTAACAACAAAGATATCTAACCTGCAAGGGTCATGGCTCTAACATAAAGCCTTGTACTTGCTCCCAGAGTCACAGGTTATAAATATGGTACAATAAGTTGAGCCATGACCCATGTTCTTTCTTTGCATCCAGAAGGGCTATTCCTCACCATTGTGCCATGAAAAGGACTTGATAATGGGTTTTGGGTAGTTCAGTGGTCAAAACCCTGTAGTCACTCTCAAAGGTAGGACAAGGAAAGAATGGACCCTAATCCCTACAGCCATTGCCCATACCCTACTCCCCAGATACAGCCTTTAAAGATTTTGCAGAATTTTGATACTTTTGTCTTGTGGGCCTATCTTTCTTCTTTTCATTTTTTTCTCCTTCAAATTTAGTTCACATAAAATATTATTTCAAAATAATATCATTCTGATAAATGCTGAAGTGCAATCATTCACTCTTTCATCCACAGTTATAATAAATACAGTACGTACAAGGCAGACTATAATTCATTTTTCCGTATCATTTTGCTACTGTAATAATATAATGTTAGGAGTAAATGCATATTAATTTAAGTATGTAACATATTTTGATCTTAAGGTAAGGTTCAACACTTAACAAAAAGAGAATCAATTCTTCTCTATCCTACTTCCTGTAGATCAATTTACTTGTCACACTACAATCTTATTGGATTTTTTAATTTTTTTTAGATTACACAATAAAAAAAAATCATCACACACCTTACAAGACAAACATTCGAACTAAATATCGTTTAATTTTAGAGAAAATTAATTTCTCTTAATTGAATTTTACTTGGCAGTCATTCATATATGGTATAAAAAGAATTTCTCTCTCTACTCAATTTTAATAGTTTTATGTTATTTTTTTTAAATTTTTTTAATATAAATTTTAAATAAAAATATTAAATAAGAATATATAAAAAAATTTTATTTTTTTTTATAAATAATTAAAATTTTACCTACAATTCATGATTAAAAAGTTAAATTCATGATGAAAAAGTTGAAGAATGAAAAAAGGCTATGAAGTTGAAAGGGAGTACTAATTGCATTTCAATTTTGCAAGTAATTGAAAGAGAAAATGCCAAAACTTACAGAAACAAGCCTTTCCGTTTCTTCTATGTTCATCTGCAACCTCACGACCTCCGACTGCCGGGGCGAATCAATGTCGACGAAGTTCAGATTCGACAGCCTGAAGGAATTTAATGAATAGCCCAGCATGTCTAGCCCCCGCGCCCAAAACGGCTTGTTAGCTTTCCCACTCGGAATCAAATCTTCAATTGCCAGACCCACCGCCGTCTCTTTCCTATCATCTCCCACTTCTCCACCACCCACCAACTCCAGCAACTCTCTTAACACCGCCACCGCCGCCGTACGGTCACACGCCCCAGTGTGCAGCCGGAGCACCACTACCCAACTTGACTCGCTCAGCGTGTAAACACTAGCGAAAATTACATCCGGGTCTTCTTCGAGCGGATGGTCGGGATTATACCACGCGTTTTTGTTCATTTCGTGTTCGAGTATCCGATGGTGTGGGTTGACGGGAGGGTTCTCGTCGCATTGGAGGATGAGGGATGACGATTGGAGATCGAATTGTTCGATTTGGATGTTGGGGTTTGGAGGGGTGATGAAAGAGAAGGTGTTGGTGGTGGCGTCGAAATGGAGCTTGGAACGGAGAATGGGGTGGGAGTTCTGGAGGGCGATAAGGGCATCTTGGAGAACTGGGATTTGTGGGGGTTTCGAGAGGAGGAGGGTAAGGACAGTATTGCCGGTGCCGATGGGGACTGCCCTGCACCAACTGTATTCGGTGCCACCGACAGGTCTGGATTTGGGCTCCGGCGTTTCTGGGTTGGGGCTTTGGTCACCCATGGTTGGTTAGAAATGTCAGAGATTCAGGATAGGTAGAAAATGAGTGGCAAAAACGTAGGGGCTAAGGAGATTGTACACCGACTGCTCGATGATTTGTCCGACTGAAGATAGAAATAATATTCTATGTATCTTGCTTTACACAAATACAGATCCTTAGCTTTGCTTGGTAGTATTATTTAAAGATTATTACTTACTTAAAGTACAAAATACTTAAACTACAAAAAGCTTTTGTTTTTTAACAACTTGCTCGGGGGGAGAGAAAGGAATTTCGTAAGATTCAAAAGTGTATTAAAGGTGAATAATTTTAAATTAAAATTTAATGTCATTAGGTTGAAGTGGGACATTCAAAGTACAAAAAGCTTTAATTATAATATAAGGTGATATTATAATTTTATAATATAAAATATTAATATATAATTTATTTTTTATTTAAAATTTATTTAAAATATTATTGAAGATAAATTTTCATTCTCAATTTTAAGATTTTACATATTTTTTAATTTTTAATTTTTTCATGCTTTTTTTTTTGTTTTTTGACCTTAAAAATATTTTTTTAATAATTTCATCAATTAATCTATTAAATTGGTATAATTATATATATTTTTAGTCTTTTAATTTTAAGTTTAAAGCAAGATATACATATATTAAAGTGAAGAGATTAAAAATATTCAAATTTAAATATATTTAATGGACTAACAATGCAAGAATTAAAAAAATATATTTTTCATAATTAATGGATCAAAAAAATATTTAAAAAATTAAAAAATAAAAATTATATAAAATTG